TTGGCACGCCCGGGTACCTCGGGCACCAGACCCCCCCGGGCGTCGCCCCCGGGTGCCCGGCCGGGCAGGACCGGCCGGGCATGAGAATCTTCCTAGATTCATAATAAAATATGACCGACGGCTAACACCTGACAGACAGCATTGGAGTAGACCTGTAGTAGTCTACCATTTCCAGTTCTGTTTGGTGCTTCTGCGCGAGAGCTGATTGAAGTAGGCGTCGATCATTTGCACAGTCTGTGTATATTCTGTTGACACCACTTGGTTGGTAGCCTGGGTGACTTGCCGAATGATTATTTATTTTTATTTATTTTATGGATCGGTCAGACACAAGCTGCGGTAGGCTCCAGTGAAGGCGCCAGTGTAGACAGTGATCTGCTTAGCTGATGAGCGGACAAGGTAGTGGGGAGGATAGATCTGGAGAAGGGTGACACGGCAGGAGACTCTTAGAATACCCATCGTGCTCAGGCCTTACCATCTGGGGGTGAGAGAGTTATACGATGAGAGGCTATGGCCGAACATTGGCAAAGGGCTAGGGAAGCAGCAGCAGCAGCGGAGCAGGTGGTGGCAGTGGCAGCAGCCACTGCTGGAGCAATGGCGACCTCTGCTGTTACATCTCAGGGTCAGCAGACATCAGACACACAGTCCGATTCACAAGCTATGTCCAGCGGGATCAGTGCAGGCACTTCTTCAAGTCGGATGGTGGGCTCGCAGTAGAACTCGAGCAAGTGGAGTTTATCCGCTTAGGGTTAGAGAAGGATATCAGAGATGCTATCGAAAGAGAAACAAAGATTAGAAATAGAAAAGCCAAGTTAGAGAACAGAAGGGCAGACAAAGGTGCACTAGAAGGGTTAGATGACTCGACCCTTGACGACACGGGAAAGATTCTCAATGCGGGTATGCTGAGCATGTATGCGTACATGGCCAGCAAACTGGGTGATACCCAGGACGCCATGCAGGGGAAGGGAAGAGCATTCCCTTCCACAATAGGAGGCTAGTATCAGGCCAACAGCAGCTTTTCCATTGCCGCCTTCGTTATCGGCGACGACAGGCCCATTTGTCCCTCTATATGGCATCCCACCAAGTGGTACGTCAGCAGCAGCAGCACAGACTGCAGCTTCTTCATCCTCTGGTCCAGCTGCTGCAGCTACGAGGCAGCAGCTGGTCCCACCAATGGGACTTAAGCGGCCTTAGTACCCCAAGACTCCACTGAAACCACCTTAGACCTTCTCTGGTGACAAGAAGGATGAGGCACCCAACACTTGGATGAGGACGGTTCCAGTGTGGGTAAGGGCGAAGAGGACGTTGCACGAGGAAGAGGTGATCACTGCTGCCTCGTATTTGGAGGGATTCGGCAGCGAGCTGGCTAGATGGTCTAGTGGCATCCAAGGGATTCGACAATGAGATGGCTAGATGGGCTAGTGGCATCCAAGGGATTCGGCAGACGAATGAATGCTTGGCCAAAGACCCGTACCTTAGAGAGTTTTATGGAGTTGGTAGAGACGCAATGGCATAACCCACAGCAGGCCCAGCAGGCCAGTGATGCGTTGGCCCGGCTTGATACTAGAAAGTACAAGTCCGTGCGAGAGCTCACCAGTGTTGTAGAAAAGCTCATCGTCGTCCATGGTGTCAGCTATGATCCACAGGTCCTAGTGACCGTGTTCTTGAGATGTCTTCCCACAAACATCAAGAAATTGTTGGTCAGTGAGGCCAGCATTGAATATCACGCTCTTGACTCTTTCAGCAAGAAGGCCTTAGATTTGGAGGCTAAGCTAGGAGGGGCACAACGACCTGTAATGGATGGTAGGAAGAAGAAGATTCTGCAAGAGTGGAAAAAGAAGGGTAGTCGGTTGATGATGGTCGATTCCGATGGGAATCAAACCGAGATCGATGATCTTTCCGACCTTGTGGAGACAAAGTTAGGCAGCAAGGAGAGTCTAGAGGGTGGAAACTTCTCGCTGCAGCAGGAAAGGCTGCTCGTTGTGCCAAGGGGGACCGGCAAAAGAGTGAGGGGCAGGCGCACAACTCAAACAAGACTTCAGCTTAGTTGAGGGCTGGCCTAGATCAAGATGTGTGGAGAGACAAATATTCGCAAGGAGCTTGCATCAACAGCGGTGAGTACGGCCATCAACAGTTTAGATGCAAGAATGCGAAGGTTCCTGAGAAGATCCCTCCCAAAGGTGGTTTTCAAGGATCATCCGCCCAGGGTGGAGCTTCTACAAACTCATCCCAGGGAAACACATCGGGCCAGTAGAAGTTGTAGCTGCTTCTATTGATCCTGAAGTGGATAGAGTTCCCTCACCACTTCAGGAGTTGGCCGAAGCTATTGACTCATTTGCTACCACGCATCTAGACCAAACAATACTTTGTTCGTTCGATGTGTATGAGGCCTTAGAAGACTTAGAAATCGAGTGGTCGGCAAGGGATCCTTGTGAGTCTTGGGTGGCTTTATCCAGAGGTCCTAGAGGGGAGCATTTCGTTGTAGCAGTTGGTGTAGGTGGCCGCAAGTGTGGTGCCTTTGTAGACTTGGCTCTACACGAAAATTCATAAGGCGCGGCTGCGTTGAGAGATTGCGCCTAGGGGACCGGGTGGAGCGCTTGAGTAAACATGTAGCGTCTACTCTAGCCAACAAAGAGCGATGGTCAAAGACTACGTCAAGAACGTGGTCTGCACCTTCTCTTATGGGGGAGGGGAACTTAATCATAGGATTTCATTCTTGGTCTCCTGGTCAGCGACAACTTGCCATTTGATATGTTGTTAGGTATGTACTACCTCGAGGTTGCCAGGCCCCAATTTGATTGGGACCGAAAGGTGCTTAAACCACAAGTACACCGCCCAGGCAAAATAAATTCATTGAAAACGACTCATTCCGAAAAGATCGGGGGTCGGGGCAGGGTCGGTACAAAAAAAAAAAAAAAAAAAAACTGCAGCAAAAAAAAAAAAAAAAAAAAAAAACTGCAAATTGAGGAACGACGTTCGGGGAGGCCCTGAAGAAGGTATGCTCACACTACAACACTCAGAATTAGGTTTTTTTTTTTTTCGTTGTTTTGTTTCCTCTTCTGTTTTCTTTTTAGGTCCCTGCCAGCGAGGCAGGGAGCGCTGGACGGACTTCTGACGACTTGTCAAAGAGGGCATATACTCGGATTTTGTATCTAACCTGTTTCGCGTCCATATTGTTGTTGTTGTTGTTGTTGTTTTGCTTTTCATTTTTGAAAGGAACCTCCGTGATGAACGAGGGGCAGGGAACACTGCACCGACTTCTGACAACTTCTCGAAGAGGGCATATACTCAGATTCTGTATCTAACCGGTTTCACGTCCATATTGGGGCTCTTTTTTTTTTTTTTGCTTTTCATTTCTAAAAGTAACGTCTGTGATGAACGCGGAGCTGTAAACGCCCTCACTGAGGGCATACTCTCACACTGACCCCTGATTCTGTATCCAATTGCTTTCTCGTCCATAGCGTTGTGGCATTTTTTTTTCTTAGTTCTTTTTTCTTTTTCACGTTGTTCTTTTGGGAGGAGTGAGAAAAGAAAATACAACCGCACCTAGGCTCGACAAAACTCGGTGCGCAATGAAATTCAGGTTCGTTTAAATCAGGTGCGGGTGTACTTGTGGTTTAAGCATGTGCTTCCAGATGGGATCACCGTAGGCTAGCTGAGTATAGGTCTAGTAGGTTGATGGACTCCTATGGTTTCATGTGCGCATCAGCGTTCTACAACAATTACAAACATAACCAAGAGAAGGGTATGTATTTGGTCTTCATCTCTGAGAAAGCGGAGGTCATTAAATCACCCCCAGAGATCAAGTCGTCGTCGCTAAATACCCTGATTTGTTTGAGGAGCCTTTAGGAGTCGCAGACAGGGAAGTTGTCCACGCCATAGAAATAATCTCAAGCAGTAAGGCGCCAAAAGGGAGGATCTATAGGATGGCTCCGACCGAGTTGGACGAGCTTCGTCGGCAATTGAAAGAGCTCACAGAGAAGGGTTGGATACGGCCTAACACTTCCCCATCCGGGTCATAGGTCCTATTCGTTCCTAAGAAGGGGGGATCGTTGAGGATGTGAATTGATTAAAGAGGCCTCAATGCCATCATTATGAAGAACACATCGCCTGTACGCGGAATCGATGACCTACTGGATAGAGTGCAGGAATGTAGATACTTCACTAAGGTCTTAAATTTGCCTATCATCATATTGCTATCAGACCGGAGGATCAACACAAAAC